CTCCTTCCTAGGGCAGAGCCCAGCTGGCGAGCGCAGGAGGCGGGGTTTCCGTTGCTTCGCGCCCTTTTCGGGCACACACGGTTTTTCGCGCTTACCGGCAACTGCTCCCAACTCATCATCAATACATGCCAGCAAATAACAAAACCTTCTCCAAACTCACCCTTCTGTGTATTCGGCCTGCAAGAGGCCCAGGTATGCTTCCCATTTGTTCCCCACAACTTTCCCACAAGTGAAGCATCGTACCGGGATGATCATTATGAACTAGCCTAGAGAGAAAGAGAAAGAAAGCTGTGAGTCAATCAGGCCTCTGATAGGACCAAATTTATTTTCCCCAATATTTCTCAACCATTTGGCCTATTGTTAAGAACAGACATTGAAACAGTGTTATGGTGCACCAAGGTTAGAGGAAAAGTTCTCTTTTTTTTTTTTTTGCTGCCAACCAGATGATCTAGTCATCCAGATTTTTGTAGCCCGTATCTGGTCACCTTGTACCAAAATAACTTGACTGCTAGGCGCTTCAGGCAGCATATCCAAGTCCTGTACAGGAGAAAAACGTTTGTGTGACTCAGAGCTCATGTAGTGGTTTGAGCCCAAGAAGATTAATAGTCAGATCCTTAATATTCACCCTCTCCAGACTACGTTAGAGATGACAGCAAGATCACGGCTTGAAGTGAAATGCGGCTGAGAGAGGATGTGAGAAATGAACATCTCTATTGCCCCCTTTGGTGATTATAAAACAAGACATTTCTTTAAGCCACATGTAAAACAGAAAGCATAAAACACTTGTTTCAAGAGAGTAGCGTGCCAGAATTAGTGCTATGAAATTTCATCAGAGCCATGGGTTCTTGACGAGCAGTTGAGTGTCGCTGCCTCCAATGAATATTTGGGCCACATATTGCCTCAGTTTCTCCCTGGTAAAACCGTTTTTTGCAAGAACCAGATATCACAGGGCCTCACTCTTTTACTGGACCTAAAAACTTGAACTACAGATGGCTACTTGGAGCAGAAGAGATCTTTGAGAAATAGACAGGTGCTGGCTGGGGGATTCTGGGAGTTGAAGTCCACACATTTTAAAGCTGCCAAGTTTGAGAAACACAGCTTTATAGGCTGCTTTACCCAACCAGATATACCCCAGAGACCTGGGGACCGCACTCTCTAGCATTCCCAGCCTTCGGTTATGCTGGCTGGCAGTTTTGGGAGCTACAATTCGAATGTGTGGAGGGGTCAACAAATTGCGGAAACTTGAGCTGGTACAGATTAATCCCAAACAGGGATGACTTGTTCATTAAACCACAGGAGACCCCCAACATGGGTTAATTCAGTAAACCATGGTTCAGTTATTCATATTATGCTTTCACTTCTCAGGAATGGAGAGCCCTTCCTATTTCTCCCCTCAGACCCCCCCCCCCGATTTTAGTCATAAAGACAAAACATAACTATCACAAATTATCTTGAGAAGCAGAAGACCTCACCCCTCTTTTTCCCGTTTGTTAAAACCCGCGGGCCGGTCTTACAATTCAATAAGTGCTGCTTTCCCTTTACTGTAGAGTACTGCGCCAATTCGCTTTAGAGGAGGAAAAAAGGCTTCACCGGTTTAATGGCTGCCCCTACTGCAAGTGGGACGCCTGCCCCGAAACATAGGGTGGTCAATTCTCCCTCGAGGTGCCCCAGTGGGCTCTTGCTTGGAGGAGAGGGAGGGTCGGGCTGGCTCCCCGGCCCTCCTTTGGCCCCCCAGGACAGCTCCCAGTTCCTCCTCCCCCCTTAACTCGGTCGTTTTTCTCGGGCCTCCCCCCCCACTTTCCCGGCAGGAACCCGCTGG